GGAAGATATCAATCCAGTGGTCGTGAGCTCTTACTTATCAAGGTAATGAATCAGTGGCTCATTTCTTTTTACATGACTTCTTTTATAAAGGCATTATTAGTATTAGTATTGTCATCCTTCTAACTCTCTGTCGCAGGTTGGTGCAAAGTACATTTGAGGATCTAGAAGACAGTGGTTGTATAAAAATGGTTGAGGATAGTGTGGAACCGATGATTCTAGGCTCGATTGCATCTCAATATTACCTTAGTTATTTGACCGTGTCAATGTTTGGCTCCAACCTTGGACCAGGCCTTTCGCTTGAAGTGAGTGTTAGCTTGAGATGTGATTGTTTGTTTTCAGCTCCCATCCTTTTCTTTTAATCAGATCCTTCTCTCCTAGGTTTCATTGCATATATTATCTGCTGCTTCAGAGTATGATGAGCTTCCTGTGCGGCATAATGAGGTATAATTATATATGCATTATTTGCCATAAGAAATTTTGGCTCTGAAACTTAGCATATTTTTTTTGGTAATGTATCTCTCACTATTATCATTTATGCAATTAGAAATTTTATTCGATGATGAAAATTTCAATCGGTATCTATATGTTATGTCATTTATAAATATGAGTACCAAGGCTTAGAGAGGGTGTCACTAATATGCAAATATAGTTATGCTTAATCAACAACAATCACTTAAAATTGAAAATTTTGCCAGCTGCACTCAACTTTATGAATAATTATCAAGTCATTCTAGGTCTCTAGTCTTCCTTAATTTAACACTTAAAGCTGCTACCTCTCTCTCTCTCTTTCTCTAGGAAAACCACAATGCAACATTAGCTGAGAGGCTTCCATACAAGGTGGATAAGAATCGTCTTGATGATCCACATGTTAAAGCAAATTTGCTCTTTCAGGTCATTCCTTTATCCACATTATCTGTTATGTCACCTCTTTGCATTTTTATACTGTGAAGTTGACTTTAGATATTCTGGAATATACTATAAGTGAAGAAACTTTGAATACAGGCACACTTTTCCCAGTTAGAGCTGCCAGTCAGCGACTATGTGACAGATCTAAAGTCTGTTTTGGATCAGAGTATACGTATAATTCAGGCCATGATAGATGTATGTGCCAACAGTGGATGGCTTTCTAGCACACTTAATTGTATGCATCTAATGCAGATGGTCATGCAGGTATTTTTCTTCCCATATATATGTCTTTTATTTTTTTGTCATAAGAATTAGCCTATATGTGCTTACATTGCTTTATACGCAGTCTGTTGTAATTATATTTAAGCTGACATAGGTAGCTTGTTACCCAATAAACAATGATGTTCGGGAGTCTTAATTTCAGCTTCTCTATATCTTCAATTTTTTATGTAAGATTTCAAGTTATTGATTTACTAATGCTCCTGTTGATGGATTTCTGCATGGTTTTGTCTGTACAAATGGTTTTTGTGTGTATATGCATGAGCTTGTCAGAATTCTATTTGAAGTTTACTAGGAAGTTTTACTATGCCTGAAGTATGTTTCCAGATTATTAGCTCTTCTCCAGGTAAGGAGTTCTAGTAAGCATCTTAAAATTGCAAGTCTAAGGCCTCAAGAACTGATTCCTAGCTGTGGACCTGTGGCCATCCCATTCCCTCCCCAAAGAAAGTAGGGAAAAAAAAAAAAAAAAAAAAAAAAAAATCTGATGGTTTAAATAGTAGTCTGGAAGGATGTGTCACTGCAACTTTTCATTCTTAAAATCCTCCTGCTGCATTTTATGTTTAATGATTAACTGTGACCTTCCTGTGGTGTTCAATAGATATATTTCTTCTTTTACTCCTTGCGAAGAATTACTGTTAACAGTTTCTTTGGTTTACAGGGGTTGTGGTTTGACAATGGTTCTGCTTTACAAATGTTACCCTGCTTGAACAACAATGTTATGGTTACACTCACAAGACAAGGTATATCAAATGTGCAGCAACTATTGGATGTTCCTAGGGCGACTATGCAAGGTCTACTTGGAAGTTTCCCAGCTTCAAGTTTATACGAGGTAAAGCAATGAAAGAGGATTTCTCCCTTGCTCGCAATTTATTTTATTTTATTTTTTGAATTTTGGACATATCTTGAAATTAGCATTTAGGCATCTCATTACTGCTAACTGTGTGGGCTTATTAGCTATATTGTAGTGTGGGTGATGCTGAGGTGTGCAAACATTAGTGGTTGAGTAGCTGAGTGTGTAGGTGATTATATGTACAAATGGAAAAGAAAGGAATTTGGCCAATTATGAGAGAGAAATACAGAAGAGAGGACATTGGGTTTGAAATTTTCTGTTTTCTTCTTGTGCTTACTCTCCAGGATAAATGTTCTGTTCAGAGTTGAATTACTTTGTAGAGCGAAAAATATTCTCTGGGAAGATTTGAAGCTACAGTTATCTAATTATTATTATCTTTTTTTTTTTGAAACAAGTCCTAAAGGACACTAAATTTCATTAATATAAGCCATACGGCATCTATAATTGACAATGAACGATAATGAAAACGAATTTAACAAAATCAAACAAGAATTAATCGGGGAAGGGCTAAGAATCCAAATACATAAATATAACAATTCGGCATATTCTCGATTCGTTGTCTCATACAACTTTTTGAGTGGATCTGTCGTCGCTTCGCAATTTTATGAGAAAGTAAATTCTTGTACTGATTCCGTAACCCGAATTCGAGCCATACAGGGGACCAAATTAAGCACAAATAAAACCTTGTCTTTCGAAGGAGACCGAAAAAACCCTGTCTTTCGAAGGAGATCGGAAAAACCCTGTCTTTTGAAGGAGATAAACCCTTTCTTTCGAGGGAGACATTATTGTAACCTAAAACAAAAGGCTTAAAAGAAAATAAAAACTGGGGCTTTCCACCGGTGAAATCCGATGGAAGCCCCTTTAAAATTGACAATGGAGACTAGGTTTAGAAGAGAGAAGAGAGAAGAGAGAAAAGGAGGCTTAGGGTTTTATTTTTATCTCTTGGTTTCACTTATTTATTATTATCTTTTTTTCCTAATAGATTGCATTTGTGAATAAGTGGCATCAACTCAAGGTTGCCAAGAATCTGTTCCTGGGGTCGGGATTGTTTTAGGTATTCTTTGGTCTTGCAGTTGACTCATTTACTGCAACACTTTTTGATGGTTATCAAATGCTAGTAGTAAGTCAAGAAGCTGCAGTTCTCACTGACTAATAGAGGCATTGATAGTTATTCTACTCTTTTTTTCTTGGGATATTTGTACTCAAAACATTGCACTCTGTGTATAACACGGGATAAGTTCTCATGAATCAAACCTGGTAATTTCTAAATTTTCTTGATTTTGGAATCTAAGCCGCAGAGGATGGGTAATATGTGTTTGGTGGTTCTATGTTCTTGTCTCTCACCAATCTGCTGTATTTTGTGTGAAGTTGCACAATGTTTTATTTTCTACTTAAGACTGTTGAAACTTATATGATTTTGTTTATTGTTCCTGCGCTGTTCATCCTTTTCCAAATTTATGTATGACTTACATCTTATTCATTTACTTCAGGATTTGCAAAGGTTTCCTCGCATACATGTGAAATTGAGACTTAAGAAAAAGAATGAAAGGGCGAGTTCTAGTTCTCTTAATGTGAGGTTGGAGAATGTTAATGCCAAGCGAAAGACACCAAGAGCATTTACTCCTCGATTCCCAAAGGTAAATCTTTAGAGACGGTGATTTGTATTGGCCAAATGTAAATTTGTTGTTTGAACTGATCAAAACTGGCTTTTTATTTTTTCCTAATAAAAATATATAAATATAACCCCTAAGACAAATATCAGCCTTGTTGCTGAATCTATATTTCTTTTTGGGATTTCTAAGCTGTGGATTCTTCAGTCCATATGATATCAGGCTTTGTTAGTTCTAAGTAATATGTTTACTATTTGGATGAAATGTGGGCTAGAGCTAGATTCAGGCTTAAAAATTTTACCAGCATCAATTTCACAAGATCAGCATGTAACCACTGTGTACTTCTAAAATCAAGTTTACCCGTAACACAAACTGAAATTATGTTAACAGGTTAAAGATGAAGCGTGGTGGCTTGTACTCGGAAATACTGTCTCTTCTGAGTTATATGCATTGAAGAGAGTTTCATTTGCTGACCACCTGGTTACGAACATAGATTTTCCGTCAGATTTGGTCATATGCCAGGTACCTTGATTTTATCAAACTAGAGAATAATATGCCTTAATTGATAGCCAGTAATTATTTCATCTTAATTGATGTCTTTCTTCTTTTATCCAGGGGTTGAAGCTCATCTTGGTCTCAGATTGTTATCTTGGTTACGAACTGGAGTACTCTTTGGAAGAACTTCTCAGAGATCAGCCTTGAGGAGTCTAGTAAGGTGCCAATTTCAAGAGCCAATGTGCCTGCTTTAAGTCGGTATTTTCTGATATAAGGGTACGGATTTCTCATCTGATCTGGAATTTTCATTTGGCAAGTTTTATGTTGTTTTAAGTTGTATGCACCGTAAAAAAATAAAAAAGAAAAAAATATGTATGCCCGATGAAGATCTCGTCAGGGAGAATCCCAAAAGGCCTTGCCAAAGTCATCAAATGGAAAATGCATCCAAGTTAAGTTGTAAATACTCCGTATATGGTTTTCGATCATTGGTCAGAACTGTTTTTATGCTTTACACAGTGTACTGAAATGTCAAATACAAGACAATGAAAAGTGCTCTTCGCCTGTAGAGCGTATACCATATCTTCAAAATCGAATGATCTCTGAAATGAAATTTTGGCCATGTTTACATAATTACAAGTTTCGTTAGTTCCCGTCCTACTCTACTCTTTACAATGCAATTCTTATACAGTTATACCCAATTGTTTTCACTATTACAGATTTACAGACTTATAAAGTGAATTTCAGAATGAGGTAGAATTGCCTATATAAGAGGATTATATTGTTATTTTGTACCTCTTTCTGTGATTCTGTCAGTCATGTAATTACTTTATCAATTTGATAATTGAGTCGAAATCTTCAAATCAAGTAAGCAAAGCATGAATACCTCATTCTGTGATTCATATAGTTATTTGATTGAAAGTACAAGGAACACTCATATGCACAAAACAAGTGCAAGTTCTAGCTATAACCAAATTCAATATGTAAAAATGCTTGGAATGCTACAAATTATCTTACTGAAACACCACTTTAGTATGATGCTTTATAGGCAAGGGCGGGCAGCCTAGGTAGTGGATGGACCATCAAGGGTTCCTTTCGTTGCAAGGTCAGACCATAAGCCTCTTCCATATTCAACTTCTCGGCCACCCGCCCATTAGCCAACTTCCAGTCAAAACCATGGACCAAAGTGGCTGTCAATAATTGAACCATACGAATTCCCAAGCTCATCCCAGCACATATCCTCCGCCCTGCCCCAAATGGAATAATCTCAAAATCATTACCCTTGACATCTGCATTAGGCCTCTCACCGTCCTTTAAGAACCTCTCAGGCCGGAACTCTAGTGGGTCGGTCCATACATTTGGATCACGCGCAATGGCCCATACATTGACCAAGAGGGTGGTGTTCTTAGGGATGTAATAACCGTTGATTTCACACGACTCGGCTGAAATTCGAGGGAGGGAGAGCGGAGTCGATGGGTGGAGCCGGAACACCTCCTTGATGACAGCTTGGAAGTAAGGTAAGTTAGGGAGGTCTGATTCATTTACAAGTCGGTCTTGACCCACAACTGAGTCTAGCTCTTGTTGAACTTTAGCCAAGATTTTTGGATTGCGGATTAGTTCTGCAATGGCCCATTCTGTTGTACTTGACGATGTATCAGTCCCTGCTGTGAACATATTCTGTCACAAGATTAAAGTTAAATAAGAAATCAAGTTTGGTTTATGTGAACATAATTTATGTTATGTAACTAATGGCCTGTTCATTTTAGCTTAATTTCTGTTCAGTTCAGCTCAGCTCAGCTCCAATCAATTCAGTTCAGTTTCCAATTTCCTTCTTTCATAAAATATCCAGTTCAGTTTAGTTTCAACCAATTCAGTTCAGTAAACGTGAACAGACTTTAAATACCAAAAAATTCAAAAAGCTAGGAAAGAATAAAAATAAGATCATATAAAGCTTAAACACCAAACATAAATAAAAAAATTAAAAAAAAAATAAAAAAAATCCAATTTCTCATTTTGTAGAAAATTAGAATTCTTCTATTTTCTTTTATCAACCAAACAAGCACTAAAAATAATGAATTTTTTTTTATTTTTTTTACGAGAAGAAGAAAAATTGATTGTTGATACACTAGAACAACGACGTCACTCCAAAGTACAGTAACTAATAATGGTTGATGTCGTGAGACGATTTAGTGAATAGGACTGATAAAATAGAAGGGATAATACCTCTCAAAAACGACTTGGGTGACCTTTAACCAATTTGACTGTTTGTAAGATAATGACGTTAGTAATTTCTAGGGGATTTGTTAAACGTCGCCCGCAAATCTCCACATAAAGCCCACAAATATTTTTACTTTGACTCTTTTGCCCTTTTTCTAATTTTTACCGAAACCGTAATTCACTCTCACGAAGAATGTGGAGCTGGAGTGGATCGCCGAGAGACACCGAAGAGCCGTCATCGTCGCCGGAAAGCGAGATAATCCGGGGGAAAAATTACGAAAAGTAGGGGTGGCGTCTGGTCAGGACGCCGCCACCATGGTTGTGGCGTCCTGGCCAGACGCCGCCACCATGGCTGTGGCGTCCTGGCCAGACGCCGCCACCATGGTTGTGGCGTCCTGGCCAGACGCCACCCCTACTTTTTGTAATTTATTTTTATTTTTTTTTGTAATTTGTTATTTTTTTATTTATTTTTTTTCTTTTTTTTTTGTAATTTTATTTAAACTTTTTGTAATTTTTTTTAAATTTTATTTAAAGTTTTTGTTTTTTTTAATTAAACATTAACACAAAAAATTCTGATTTTAAAAAAAATATATACATTAGAAATAAAAACATTAACACATAAAACAAAAATATTAAACATTAACAAAAGAATTCTGATTTTCCAAAAAAAAAAAAATATTAGACAAAAAAAAAAAAAAAAAAAAAAAGTGGTAGGGCGCCTGGCCAGGACGCCCAGCCCCTAGTGGTGGCGTCTGCTCCGGCCGCCGGGACCAGGGGGCTGGCGTCTGACCTGGACGCCCAGCCACGGCGGTGGCGCCTCTGGAAAACGCCACAACCGTGGCTAGGCGTCCAGGTCAGACGCCAGCCCCCTGGTTCCGGCGGCCGGAGCAAACGCCACCACCAGGGGCAGGGCGTCCTGGCCAGGCGCCCCACCTCTTCTGGTTTTTTTTTAAAAAAAAATTAAAAAAAAAAACCCTGCCACCGTGAGCCGTCCTTCCCTCCGCCGCTGTGGCCGCCAAGTCCTTGCCTTGCCGCCTCAACATTGCTGTATTTTCGGGTGATTAGAGTGTGGGTATGGGTTAGATTTTTTTATTTTAGGTTTAGGGCAATAAGGTAAATTCAATATAGATTTGTGGGCTTTATGTGGAGATTTGCGGGCGATGTTTAGCAATCCACATTTCTAGAGCACCTACTACTCTACGTCTCTACCAACGACGTGGGGCTTTAATTGCCACTTCAATAATGTACAACTTCATCTGTACATGTCAATATGGAGTTTTTTTTTAAAAAAAATAAACCGTATTTTACTTAAATAATATTATTCATTAGATACCACTAATTTCTAAGCTAATTTGCTTGACTAAGTAATTTGGCTACTTGCAAGCTAATTCCTAAAAGCAACGGATAAAGCTGTTATAACGATACCATATATAAAACTGCAAATAAAAGATAAAAGTTGTAGAGATCATTACCAAAAGCAAGGCCTTAATCTCAGTGTCAGTCAATTTGCCACCCTCACCATCACAATTATCTTTCAAAGAAATCAAAGTGCTTAGGAAATCCCCACCAAAATGATCACCCTTTAAGTTAGCCTTGTGTTCTTCCAAAATGGCACCTAGAAAATTGTCAAACCTCTTATGTAACTTCTTCATCTTAGAAGCAATCCCTTGCAAGTCTAGCCATTCTAAAGCCGGCACGAAATCGCCGATGTTAAACTCTCCGGCAAGGGTCATGACTTCCATCACCATGTCCTTGAATTCCTCTGATTTTTCATCACTTTCGCCCGTGCCATCGCCAAAAACTCTCCTTCCTAGCATCACCCTTGATAAGGCATTGGTGGTGCACACATTCAAAAGTTGTCCTAGTTGAACTTGTTCATTTGATTCTGCCTTTACTAGTGCCTTTGTAAGTATTGCCACTTCCTCCTATTTATGTTCCAAATATTATTGGACAAAACAAAAGGTTAAATTCCATGCAAATTAAAATAACTCTTCAAATACATAAGATAACATTTATGATATGCAACAATTATTTTGATTTTTTTGTTTTTATGGTACTAGATATCACACTTTATATAGATTCATGAGTCCCTCAAAAAAAAAATATATAGATTCATGTGTAAAGAAATTTAATTATTCTCCTTCAAAAAAAAATATAATAATAATAATAATTATTATTATTATTATTATTCTGGTACTTCTTCAATTAGTTGTTAATTGTTGTAAATTAGATCAAAATACAATGGATGAAATAGTTATTAATTCCGGAAAATTAGAGTATATTGCTACTATTAAGCTCATCTAGGATCAAGCATGATTTTACTATTTTTTTTTTCCACCTACTTACATAAATATTTTGCCAGCCAAATAGGCAAAACAAACTTTGCAACGTTCTTTTGAGGAAGTGTCACACATTTAATGTTTCACCTTAATTGTTGTACGACCAAAAAAAAAATCTTCATAAAATAATTAACATAATTAAAGAAAAATCAAATATACTACGTATATGACTTTAAAATTATAAATAAATAAATTTAAAATGAACCTGACGAATTGGTTTGTAATCTTCCATAGCCTTAGCAGAAAACAAGTGAAGTGCAGAAATTTTCCTAAGCAACCTCCACCTTTGACCATAAGGTGCAAACACCAAGTCTTGGTAGTTATATGCTATGTACTTTGCTCCTGAATTTGGAGGCCTACTTGAGAAGTTTGCATCATGGCTCTTTAAAAACTGCGCCGCCACTGAAGCCGAAGCCGCCGCCACCACATGGACGTACCCTAGTCTCATGTGGAGGAGTGGTCCATATTTTTGTGCTAGGGCAGCTAGTCCCTTGTGTGGGACTGGCCCCATGTGTGGTAGGTTTCCCACTATAGGCCACGGCTTCGGCCCCGGTGGAAGCGGCCGGGGGTACCGGTTCCGGGTGATGGTGGTTGTGATGAGGTAGTAGATGAATATGGCTAGTGCAATGGTGTAGGAGGTTAGTTCTAAGGGTGACATATTTACTATTTTGAGGAGGATATATGAAAAATGGACTTGAGTAATAAAACAATGATATGAAAGTGAGGTACTTTTTTTGTGAAGAGTTAGGTGTGCATGTGGAAGGTTGTTATATAGGGAGATATTCTTGGGGGTAAACAAATGCAAAGTACTTTTTATTTTTCGAAATAACTACTCCAGTGATTAGATGGTTGTTAAATAAGGAATATACTTGTGGAGTTATGGTTAATAGGTAAAAGTTAATGAGTGTTCTCGGGCATTGGATAAGAGAATTAAAATTGGAAATCTTAAAGTGAAACTAATATTAATTACACCGAATGATGCGTGATTTTGTCATGTATTCCTAACTTAATATTATTTCAACCAATATAATTATTCCTTATCTAATGATTCGGGCCGCTCGTTAGCAAGGTCCTGGTTAATGTATCAATCAGGTGCTTATTACAGAGATTAGGAAAAAAATGCAATTAAATTAAAACTAATATGGAGTGCAACATATTAAGATTGGATTATTACAATATAAAAGATTTTAGACAAAAAGTTTATTATCAAGAGCCCTTTCCCTAAATAATGTTGGGAAATTATCTAATTTCCAAATTACAGCTACTCTTTTTTTAATTCCCACTATACCGTCCACGTCAACTAAGGAAAACAAACCAGTTTTTTTTTCTCGGTCCAGCAACAAACCGCTACTTCAAATAGCGGTGTTATGAGAATAAACCGCTACTTGAGGGCTTGTTTGGCATCATTTTAGGAAACTGAAAAACAAAAACCAAAAACAGGAAACAAGAAAAAGGTGTTTCCACTTTTCTGTTGTCAATTTTCAAAATTATCATAATTTTAATAAGTTTATATAATTTTTGATTCATTATAGGACTCATATCATATACTTTTTGAAAACAAAAAACTAAAAAACAGAAAATCACAGCAATGCCAACCGAACCCTGAAGTAGCGGTTTTAATTTTGTAAACCGCTACTTGAAGTAGCGGTTTTCCTCAAAACACCGCTACTTGAAGTAGCGGTTTATGAAATTAAAACCGCTACTTCAAGTAGCGGTTTATGGGTTTGTTTTGTAAGTTTTTCTTTAAAAACAAAATATCTATAAATCAATCAAAATTAAACCTTCAAATAGTTGAATAGTTGTATCCCCAAGTTCCATAAACCTTTGATATTCGGTGCAATTTGGCGTGCAATCGGTGTCGGCAATCACAAATCCTTTGATATATCCTCGTTTCTGGTTATATTCTCACAGCAATCATTGTCGGCAAACAACCGTAGGAAGGCGTCGATGGTGGCGAAAACGGCTTCCAGCGCGAGGGATTGTTGCGTTGGAAGGCTACTTGATGAGTGTCGTTCGAATTTTTATTTATTTTTTTCTTTTTGGATGATTCTGCTGAATTACTTTACATTGGGAGGGGAGAAAGTGATTTTATTAAAAAATTAATTAGTAAATACAAACTGCTACTTCAAGTAGCGGTTTCTAATAAGTAAACCGCTACTTCAAGTAGCGGTTTCTAATAAGTAAACCGCTACTTGAAGTAGCGGTTTTCAGTAGCACACCGCTACTTGAAGTAGCGGTTTTCTAATAAACCCGTTTTCTTAAAAAATTCTCACTGAACCGGTGACGTGGACGGTATAGTGGGAATTAAAAAAAAGAGTAGCTGTAATTTGGAAATTAGATAATCTCCCAACATTATTTAGGGAAAGGGCTCTATTATTAAAAAGTATATATGTTCTTTTAAAAAAAAAAGAGTGTATATGTATGTATTCAAGTCACAACTAGAACTGTTATCATCATAGTATTTTTTTGAGTTTCAAAAATTGCTTTATCAATAATGTCATTAATATTGCTATAAATAGCAAGATTGTATGCACATTTGAATAAAACAAAAAAAAAAAAGTAGCTAGTAGCTGTAGTTGTTGCCAAGTTTTTATTTGACAGGAAGTTGTTGCCAAGTTGATTGGAACAAAATACAAGTAAGATATTGTGCTATGAAGGTGTGGTGGTTGTATTGTGAGTTCCATATTCTTTCTAATAGTCTTCAATTCTTCGTGCCCATCTTACAGTCATTCAGATTGCCACGTGAACACCTACAATTAAAAATACTACTACGTACTAATGCATTTGAGTATAATTTGGAGAATACTTCTTAGCTAGGGCACCATATGATGCTCATAGAACCAAACTCAATTATTTGTGAGCACTCGATTTTGATTTTACGTTGTTGATAACTTAATTTTGATTATATGCGGGTTATACGATTGTTTTTAACTTTTTCAAACTTTAGTTAATATCGATCGTTGAATTTTCAAAATTTTCTAACTTATAAGAACGCTTTTATTTTTACAAAGTAATTGCTGAAAGACTAATCCAAATTATGAGCTTAATTTGTTGACTTTTCAATTTAGATTATAATAGAGTTAAACAAATATAAACTTATTATTTTCATTATCTTATGCAAGCCATTTTTCGTTTAGGTACCTAATTTATATTCTCTTTACTTATTCATTATTTTACTATCTTATTATCACACATATATGCACTGGATTCCAATTCAGAATTCTGATCCAAATCCAATTGACACTTTAACCTACTTTTTTTCAAAAATCACCTACCTTTCTATCACATATTCACATCTATCTTACTTTATTCATTTTTGTCATAAATACTTTTTTTTTTTTTAGGAAGTCATAAATATTTCTTACATATGGAATAATGCATATATAAATACAATTAAAATACAAATAAATAAATAAATAAACAAAGAAATAAATATATAGAGAAATTAATATACCAGTAGTACTAAAGTTAGGCGCATTGTCATACTAATCAAACATAATTGGATAAATTTGATTTTTCTGAGAAAAGTGAGGATATATCGTCCACACATTCTAACTACCACTCTATTCCGTATGACGTAGCCAATTCACTTCTAATGTCGTATTGAATAAATTGTTTGGACATTGACAGCAAATTACGTCTATTCATGCTCATGTTACAAGAGAAGATACCATTAATAACACTATCACTAACAATTTTGATGTAATTGTAACCCGTAAAAACAACGTTGAAATTGGAAATTTAATCCCCATAAGAGACGCTACAAGAGTGGAGTTTCTTTTGCCCTTCCCCACTCTCAAAGTGCATACCGACTATTTCGAGTCGAATGGATTTATGAAAGGTTTCACGCTAATAGAATAATTCTTCTTACTTCTCAAAAAACAGATTTGGAAGATATTTCCTCCGTTAACTATTAATTGCAATATAGAGGTATTAGTTGTGAGACATATAACATTCCTTATTGTAATTAATATTTAACGGAAAAAGTATATTAAGAGCATTATAATTTACAATTTTCACATGACTACTCTCCTCAAGTGCCTGTAAAAATTTTGCACCGACATTCTTTCAAATTAGGCTGTAAAAATTAAGATTGTCCAAGCCTCCACAATTTTTATATACCTTGATTTTCTTTTTTAATACTTGAATTTTAAAAAAAAAAAAAAAAATCCTGCATTAATTTTCCCCTTACATTTGCTGTCCTATATACAACTTGCAAATTATTATTAAAAAATTTATATACCTTGATTTTCTTTTTTAATAGCTTGCAAATTATTATTAAAAAATTGAGAAGATAAATAGTAATAGGGGAAAATTAAAATTTCATTAAAACTGACAAAGGGCATAAACTTCAACTCACAAGAGTCAGAATTTTCCCCTTACATTTGCTGTCCTATATACAACTTAAAGCCAAAACGAACAGTTTAACACCCATTAACAGATTGAACAACGTTACATAAGTCCATTTTTAAAAGGAAAATTTGTTAATCCATGAAATTAGGAAAAAAGCCCATAAAAAGGAAAGCTTTCATCATCCTACTTGAGCTCTTCAGTCCACCATCTCATCGTCCTCATCATCAAGCTCCTCGATCTTTAACTTCTTTGCAGCTTGTGTAGCGTTACTTCGTGGTCCGTTAGGGACTTGAATCAGGACCTCAGCCCTCTGTCCAGTTGCAGCATTAACCATCCCACCAGTTTGCTCCACGCGGTACACAAGTCCATCCATCCCAGCATCAATGAAGACGGTTGAATTCTCATCAATTTCCTCCTTGATGAGCATTTTCGACAATTCTGTGACGACTTTCTTTTCTAACCATCTCCTAATAGGCCTTGCACCATATACCTAATGACCAGAACGATTAAAAAGTTAGTACAAAAAACATACAGCATGTTACAATATTGAAGAAGGAAAAATAGTTAGGACACCAGAAATACTTACTGGATCGTAACTCTCTGCTAAGACGTAATCTAGAGCACCATCTGTAACTGCCAAGGCAACACCCCTCTCAGCAAGACGTTTAGCCACATCCTTCATTTGCAGCCTAGCAACCTTCCTTAGTTGCTCATGTGATAGAGGATCAAATATTACAACCTCGTCCAACCGATTGAGCAGTTCAGGCTTGAAGTGTCTTTTTACCTGTGAACAACAATGCAACATTGTTAATACATTCGCTCACTAATTTAAGTTAAAAATTTTAAATCATACAAAACAATATTTGGAGTTCCAAGATAATTACCTCTGCCATAACTCTCTCTCGAGCAGTCTCCATTGTGCTCTTGCCCGAAAGTCCAGCAAGGAGATGCTCTGCACCAAGATTAGATGTCATTATGATCACTGTGTTCCTGAAGTCAACAGTCCGCCCTTGCCCATCTGTCAGCCTTCCATCATCAAGAACTTGCAAGAGTGTGTTGAAGACAGAAGTGTGGGCCTTTTCAACTTCATCGAATAATACAACACTGTAAGGCCTTCTTCTGACAGCCTCTGTCAATTGCCCGCCCTCTTCATGGCCAACATACCCTGGAGGAGCACCAATTAATCTGGCCACAGAGTGTTGCTCCATATACTCTGACATATCGATTCTCACCAGCAAATTCTCATCATCGAAAAGCTGTTCTGCAAGAGCCTTGGCAAGTTCAGTTTTCCCAACACCTGTTGGACCCAAGAACAAGAAAGAACCAGTTGGTTGTTGAGGTCTCCCTAGTCCAGCTCTAGATCTCAGTACGGCTTCTGCAACAGATGCAACTGCACTGTTTTGACCCACCACTCTTTGGTGCAATTTCTCATCCAGGCCAATTAGCTTTTCCTTCTCATTCTCACCCAGTCTGGTGACTGGAATACCAGTCCATCGGCTCACCACTTCTGCAATCTGCTCTGGCCCAACAGTTTCAGTCAACAATTCAACATCGGTAGCATTAGATTCC